CCTATATATATATATATATATATATATATATATATATATATATATATATATATATATATATATATATATATATTAGGGAATTTAGGGGCAACCAACATTAGCATAAATAAGATATCCACTACACTTTGTTTTTCACTTTTAGGAACTTAAAATAACTGCTGCACAGGAGTTTGGACATGTTTATGTTCACTGAGCATAGACCCTATTACTGCTATTGAGGTAAACCAATGTTTTAAATGAGGTTATTGCTTTTGTAAATGTATAAAGCATCGATACATAAATGTAGCTGCCCCTCCCCCACATGGTGTTTCACAATGATTGTTAGTGCTACACTCTGGAGCCAAGGAACCATAGTGGTAGATTAGAGGATAATAGTGGTAGACCAGGGACTCCTATTGGGCAACCAACGCCACAACAGGAAAAGACTGTCACTGGCTGGGACTAACTCTAGATACTAACTGCCAAGGTCCATAGGACGACAGTGGTAGATTGGAAAAGCCTGCCAGGAGGACAAAGAGATATAGAACAGGGAAGAGGTGCTCGCTTTCCAGGAGCAAGACAACAGTACACCAGAGAAGCAGCAAGGCCAAATGAGAAGGTTGAAGCTTTGACTCAAGAGCGGGAGATTGAAGGCGGACAGTGGTACATTTGAGAAGCCTGAAGGGGAGAGTCCACTTAAGTAGGGACAGGGTTAGGGTTAGTCTCTCTTTGGTGGGGGGCCGGGTTTGAAGCCGGAAGAAGATGGGTTAGTGTGGCAGTGACACTGCTCCCCTTCCCCCCATCCGGGTGTCAGGTTCGCCTACTGGGTCATCCGGCAATACCAGTGCTGCCGGGTCCTCGGTCCTGAGATTATTGGATGTGAGTTTTATGTGTGAATGTGCGTCCGCGTTTTTTTTTGTTTTTTTTCCACAGAGACTGTTTGTTGCGATTGGGGGCACTAGGGTGGGAAGGCATGATTGAGACTGTGTATGTTTCTGGTCAGGTTCTGGTCTGAACTGCTCCCTCTCTCAAGAACATCTCAAGTCTCTGCTAAGTGACTTGACCGATTCCCCACGTCCTGCCCCCCTCTGCTGGCTGGTGCTTTGGCTTGCCGGCACACTGACAGTGCTCAGTGTTTGGGGGTGGATGCCCGGGCAGGTACTGACTTATTCCTGGTGGATGCTTGGCGGTCGGGGGAGGGGCACAGAATTATAATAAAGCTATTTATATGCATAAATCAAGCGGAACACTATGGTCATAGCCGTGGTGCTCTACTTGTGAAAGCAAAATCTGTTGGGCTCACTTTTTGGCATCAAGCCAATTATTCTTATTGCCACATTGCCAGACAGGACGCTGTTGAAAAGTAAAAAATAAAACAGATTTTTAAGAATCTATTTGCAAAGCTCTTGCCAACCTAAACTCTCAAGACTAATACCTAAACATGAAGTGGTCTTTGGTAAAATACATGTAGCTCCCACTTGGCTTACACCATATGATGGGTAACTGAATATGGTGTAACTCCGTGTCCGGTGTGTCCACCAGAGCTACTCCCAGTTTGTCCATTAGTCCAGTGAGTTTTTGATTAAAAAAAGTTTAGTCTCTGCTATGCTCCATTAGTTTACATCACAGCCACATCCAGTCCCTGATCAGTTAACACAAATTGACAGAAAAGTTTAGATTTCGGAATTTCAGGGTAATTTCAATTTGCTATGTTCGCAGTTCTCCATCACTCTATCATTGCGTCCAGCTTGCCTAGTGCTCTTCTGTTTTGCTCTGGTCAACAAATTTACACCTTGTACATTGCTTGAAATGTGTCTTTCACATAGCTGACCGTATCTTCGCTCTTGAACATGCATTTACATGAAACTCCTACATGTCAATCAAGTGTGGAGTACCCTAACAACAACCGTATTCAAGCCTTTTTAATAATTCCTTCCTACTTTGTGAGTTCTGATCAAACAACTTCATATATTTACCTTTTCAAATCCGAAGTTGAAGAGCCATTCTCCTGCTCTATGAAGAGGAAGTGTTTTAGGTACTTTTCTCTGGAATGCAGCTTGTTGTACCAGCTTACGAATAGAATAAATGTTTTGCAACTCACTTGAAAGAAAAAGGGTTAAACTATTCTATACTCACCTTAGAAAGGACATTTTTAAAGCAAGTTGGATATATAATTTATATCCATTGAATTCCAATTGCCTGTTTTATTATTCCTGCTGATCCACAAAGAATGCGATATCAATCAGGTTTCAAAAGAGAAGAAAGTTAGGGTAGGGTTAAGTTTATTATTTTGTGATTCTGTTCTTACTTTAACACTATTAGCTTTCAGATGTCAAAACGTTTTACAAGAATATCTGCAATTTGTACTGCAAATCCACACTGATACAGTATAACAACTAATGCTGGCATTTGACTTTACAAAGAGGTGTTTCTTCTGAAAAAGATTTCTAAACTATAAACAGTCACTCAAGAGCTGTGCTGAGGTACAGTAAGGCCAGTATAATGTATCTATAAAGTGGCATTTGCTCTTAGATACCTAAACTTGTAACTACAAGGACTGTGGCAGTATCAACAGTTTGAATTACTGACTGTCATGTATATCAGATGTAAAAAAAAAGTGAAAATACATATTGGATTTCTGCAGCCTGCTGTAGATTTCAATTGTATACTGTAGAAACAAAAAAAATTTTAAAAAAGTATTTTTGGAGACTCAGTGAGTACCCATGTATTTCTTTTAGGTCCTCTCAACCCTTTGGTCCGGGGCTTATCAGTCCATGTAAGATCTTGAAAAATTATCTTTCAATTAGTTTTACTCATACTTCTATTACCTATGGTAACACTCGCATGAGTATTGCTTGTGCACGAAATGGTTTAATAAATCAAGTTATTTTATAAACATGAGGCCACACTTTCACTGAAATATGTGCTGTCAATGTGACAGCCTGATAAAACCACTGAGGGTTGTATAAATCAGCTGAAAATGCTGCTTTCTCAGATGTCATGCATAGTTGGAATGCATGCTGTGACAAAAGACTCATACTGGCATCTTCAAATCCATCACATCTCCTCACTGTCTGATTAGTGAGTATAAGGAGGCAGGAGTACATGTCAGACTATAAATGAGACTATTTTGGCATAGTGATACTAATTTACTGTTGTTTAGTCTTAATAGATTGAATAAATGAATCAATGAAAGAGTCAATGCTTCCTCTAGAGATTCAGGAGTTCTGACACAGTTACATTAAGTGATTTCACAGTTTAATCCATAAACCTCTGTAACATAGACTTCTAGTCACAGCTTTACATACAATTGTCAACCTCATGGTGTTTTTTTTTTTTTTTAGGTATTTATTAGGACATTATAGCTGTTCTATGTTTGAACTAATTGTGTGATATACATCGTAATGAATTATTTTTCACACAAGCTTACATATATCACCGTTCATAATATTGCTCAAATTTCTGAACCTGTTTGTAACTGTATCTTTTTCTTGGTATAAACACGTTTTTCAAATAGCTGAATAAACTTCCACTCATACAAAATTTGATCTATTTACTGCATTAATTTTTCTTTTTAATTGGTGTGATGTATTCCAAAATTTAGGATGAGGCAGAATATTTTAATTAGCCCTTCTTCGTAATATTTGTATCAACTTTTAGCACTTCACCAGTACTAACATACAAACATATCCTGTGTACAGTTATATCAGTATGATGCTTGACAGCTGGGTGCTCCATTTAAAAAGTCTCTTCTTAACTTTTCCAAACATATTTTGTGTATGAGGCTCAGTCTTTGTCTCACCGGACCTCCCTCCAGTGGAAATGTGGATTTTCCATGTCAACAAATTATGGGCAACTGCAACTTTCAGCTTAACTTAAACGTGTTTTGTGTTTTATACAGGGCTTTGTTTCTTATTCTTTTTTTCTTTTTGTGTGTCCTGATTTGCTAATATAGCCCTGGGAATAGATGTCTCAGAAGTAGAGGATAGCCCAACAGGTTTACTTTCACAAGCAGAACATTATTCTGTATATATATCTAATTTGTCGGCACCATCAACACCAAGTTAAATTCCTTTTAAGTGCAAGCCTACTAGGCAATAAATCTAAATCTGATTCATATTACTGTTACCGTAAGACTCCGCTTTGTACTTTATTTAAAATTATTTAGGGAATAAAATTGTGTACAACAAGCAGGGAGGTGAGAAGGAAAGAGGTGATAAGAACTAAGGGGAGAGAGAAATCTATAGAGACAGGAAAGACAGAACCCGCAGCAGAAATAGACAACACTGAAGATATACAGTAACTCATAGAAGTCTGCTTCCAACCGTGAGACAAGAGGGACGGAAAACAGAGAACATAACAGCAAAAAGAAGACAACAAACAACCAAAGTAAACAAAAAAGCTTCCAGGGGGATGGATTTTCCCTTAGATATCAATGTATGGTGAAAACAAAACCTATGGTGATTACACAGTATTATGTTTATATATTATATAATTTATATATTAAGGTTTATATATTTTAAGGTTTATCTTAATCAGAAATATAGGTCGAAAGCTGAATATAGACAGAATCTTTGTCATGTTTTAGGAGGAGACCAATATTTGCAGAATTCATATTTGGTGGAAGCCTGCCCTTCTCCTCGGTGTCCTGTAGCATTCTGTGGAATGTTGGTTACAAGATATTCCAGAATTCTGGATAGAATTCTACTGGAAATCCATCAGAGCCTTATTATCTGCCATGCCTTTCAGAGCTTCCTACAGTTCATCTGCTGTTAGCGGTGAATTCTGGCTCCTGGCCTGATTATCAGATAATTGAGGAAGTGTTACTTTGTCTAAATAAATTATTAATGTCACCAGCAAATGAGTGTATTGTTGATGAGTATATAGCTTTATAAAAGTGTATTCAATAATCTGTTTTCTGGCACAGCAAATACCAGATTTACAGTAACTGTACTTGTGTTACTCCATTACAATACTCTAAATCATTTTGTGTGTTTGTTTGTATTCTTTTTCTCTTTTAGATGTTCAAAAGACTCTAAAGGGAGATTTGGACAATATATTTCTTCAAACAGAAACTCTCACCAAAACAGATCTGAGAGGAATGAGGACAACAAATTCCAGAAAGTAAAGTAAAGTTTTTACTCCAAATCCTTTCCTCCTATTTTGTGGAACCAATCTTGCCACTCTGAGCTTCATTTATGTTTATTTTCAAATCTTAAAATCTTACAGCACATAAAAGTAGACCAGTAGGGTATACTATGTTATTAATGCCAACAGAAAAAAAAAAATTCAAGCAATCCTTTGAACCGAGGGTATAGATATTGACCATTTTGATTCTCATTCTTCACAGCTTTTAGCTGGAAAACTGAAGATCAGAGTTCTGAAGGATGACATATCAATAGGTGAGAGTTTAAAACTATAATTAAGCACAGCTTCAACATGTTTGTACCATAAAGTAGACCACAAAATAATACAAAATATTTGGACCTGTCAATCTATCGGTTATCCTTTTTAAAAGCATATTGGAACCAATTCCAATTTAAATGCCTTAAACATGGGTACCATAGTATAGTTTTGAGTTGAGAGATATTTCTAGCAATAGGTACAGCTTATAATGTAGGCTCAGACAGTTTTCAAATATATACAGTATTAGCACCAATGGAGCATTTGGTTCTCAATGTTAATGCCTCTATGAGTGCCCCCCAGATGTACTATAAGTATTAATTACACAAATCAGAAAGTTGGACAGGCTGCTGTTACCCTAAAACTTAGCTTAAAAACACTGGTGAAGATTCTCTGTCATCCACGTCATAGTAGAAGCCATAAAGATGCCAAACGACACCATCACAACGGGGTGGAGCCCTTCGTCTGTTTCAATTTGTATAATAAAAAAAAAAAAAAAAAGAACTTTGTTGGACTACTGTATAAAACTGCAAACTCAACGCTATTCCTGAACTTTTGAATTGAGAAAGCTTCCTGGATGGGAAGCGAATCATCTTCAAACTTGGAAACAAAGTCCAGTGGATTGTTTTTAATTTTCTTTTTTTGGAATTAGCTTAAAAAGCATGGTAACTCTTTCCAAGTGAAGATAGTGTCTGCGTAGTGTAGCATGAGTCATGTTATTACTCATTGATGAAAAGATGTTATAGCCAAATTCACCCACAGTGCAACATTCTGTAGGGTTCTTATCTCAGATGGGATCTTCATGCTGTGGAGTTCATCTTGTTTAGCTGGGGTTTAGATTACTGTATGTGTTTTAGTGTTTTACAGTGGGTGAAATAAGTTTTGAACATGGAACCAATTTTCTCAGGTAATATATTTCTTGAGGTGCTATCAACGTGACATTTTCACCAGATGTCGGTGACAATCACTGAAATCCACATATACAAAAAATCTAATGATAGATGTCAAAAATAAAAATTTGTGTAATAAAGTGAAATCACAGAGGGAAAAGTATTAAACACACTTTCAGAAATTTATTTAATACTTTGTAACAAAAGCCTTTGGAAATGACAGGTTCAAGACGCCTCCTCTATGGGGAAATTGGTAGCATGCATTGCTAAGGTGTGATTTTGGCTCATTCCTCTATGCAAACAGTCTTCAGATCTTTAAGGTTTCCCTGGCCCCTTCTGCTGATCTTTCATTTTTTCTATAGATTTTCTGTTGGACTCAAGTCAGGTGATTGGCTAGGCCATTCTAGCAGTTTTATTTTCTTTCTCTGAAACCTATTGAGAGTTTCCTTGGCTGTGTGTTTGGGGACATTGTCTTGCTGAAACCCACATTTTATCTTCATCATCATCAAGGTAGATGGATGTAGATTTTATCAAGAATGTCTCTATATTTTTCCATTCATCCTTCCTTGAATTATTTTAAGTTTGCCCATACCATATGCTGTCTAAATGTAGGGCAGCAAACTTTACATGCACTTCAACATGCTTTTTCTTCAGCAATGGAGTCTTGCGTGGTGATTGTACATACAGGCCATGGCAGATGAGTGCACTACTTATTGTTTTCTTCTAAACATTTGTACCTTCTAATTCCAAGTATTTCTAAAGCTCTCCACAAGTAGTATTGGAATCTTGCACAACTTTTCAGATAATTCTTTTCACTTCAAGAACATATCATGGTCGCTTTATGGTGAAATTATGATCTCTCCACTTCCGGTTTATGGTCCCAACATTGCTCACTGGAACATTTAGAAGTTTAGAAATCTTTCTGTAATCATTATCATTTGGAACAATATGGTTGCCAAGGTCTTGTGAAAGCTCCTTGCTTTTACACAACATGAGATATTTCTTGTGTGATACCAGACAACTTTTTATAGGCCATCATTTGGGAGTGAACCAGCTGATAATATTTTGCACTGACAAGGAGTACAGTAGGATTGCTTTTTAATTACTGAGAGATTCTAGGTGGTTTGTTGGCTTTCTATGCCTTGCTGATCCTGCCTTTCTTCACGTGTTCAATACTTTATTCCTATGCCATTCCACATTATTGCACAAAACTTAATTTTGATAAATCTATGGATCAATTTCTTTGTTTGTGTGGATTGCATGGATGGTTACTTACATCTGAAAATGTAATGTTGATAGCCTTACTTTTACAACATTGAAAAGTAAGGCAGGTGCACAAGAGTGTATTTGTTTATATAAAGAAGTGATTCATATAACACTTTGATTTAGGAGGATTCAAAATGTTCTGATATCGGTTATCAAAAATATCTAACAGTAAGTACAGCTGGGATTCCATTTATATTGTTAGTTGGTGCTGCAAAAGGTTGTTTTGGATCATATCATCAGTATGAGATGCATTTCACAACAGAATTGAAATACTTAATTATTCCAGTTGTGCATTAACATTATGCTTACTTTTGTTTGTAAAAAAAAAAATATGATTAGGAAAAAACAAGCTACTTTGAGATCCACACAAGTTCTTCAGCAAAGTCTTGTGCACACTATTTCCTTTTCTTAAAAATGTGCTTGGATTGTGTTTGCCAGTTCATTATGCAAGTACAATCCAAATGTCAATAAAGATAAAGTCCCTGTGCCAGGTGTCAAAATCAGTGTGTTTACTCTTAACAGACCCACCTCAGTCAGCAGCTTCCCATTCTGTCCCTACCTCCGGTACTGGACTGACAAGCAGAGTAAAGGCAACGATCTCAAGACCATGTGAAACCAAGACAACTAAATTAGTAAGGACAGAAATACATTTGATATTTACTCTCTGTGTATTTTAATTTACTCACTTTTAAGGAAACATTTGAAGACAAAGCAACATGTTTTCACTTTGTTATTGCTTACTGGCATCTGTTGCATGAGTCCCTTTATCAGTTGAAATAAAGTTTATGCAGTCTATATTTATCCTTTTGCCAAAGCATAAATATTTACATTTGATTTTAAGCTCAGGTAGTAATGAACCTGAGCTACATTCAGAATTTGAATCTTAAATCGCAAATTTTACTTGTTTTTGCCCATTCTTTTTAACCCTGTTCCTACTCTCTCCCCATTCATCTGTTGATTTCATTTGTATGCATTGTTCTCTGAGATGCCTCTTGATTTACAGTAATTCTGTTCTTTGTCTCCGCTTCACTTTCACTTTCTGCTGTCATTCAGATGCCCATTATCTCCTTATTGTTTCCCTCTTGATCATTAGGTTTATCCATCTTTCTTCGTACCAAACACTTTATCTCCTTACTCCTTTCCCTCCCTTCAATCTGCTTTATAATGAAGTTGTCTTCCCTGTGTCTTGTTTACCTGGGATTCTTTATCTTCTCTCCTCCTTTGCGACACCTCAACTGTCCTATCAAACAGTCGATCTGAGTGTTTGTGTTTGCACTGATAACTGTTTAGTTGGATCCATTCATCGATACTGCCCCTAAGGGCTCTGTTGTTTACTTTTTCTCAGTCTTCTTTCTCCAGCTCTGGAGGTGCGACAGCTACTCCTAAATCTTTGTGTGAAAAAAAGTGAATAACTCCTTGTTATGATTTTTTTCCTTATGTTTTACTATATATTTAGCTGTCTTTAATTTACTACTGATGCCTCCAAGTGATGGCTGTGAGAGCAAGACAGACTCACAGAGAATATGAAGGAGGAGGAGGGGTTGAGTTGGCTGAGTTGACATCCTGCCATTTTATGTTGTGGAATAAGTTATTCAAATCCAGCACACAAAATGCATTCAAATCTGATGTGGTAATTTGCCTGAAAGTGCATGTGCTGATGATGGCATTGAGCTGTCTATTAAAGTGGCCAATGCCCCCAGCCTTCCATAGCGATAGGTTTAATGTCAGCACTTACTGTATAGCATTCTGGGCGGACACATAGACAGAATGCAAGCACAGATACACACAATGCCCTAATATGCAGACATTTTACATAGCTCTTGTACCATATAATGATTGTGATATAGGGAAGCTTTACAGCTATCTCCACACCACTGTCTGAAAATGCACTTATGCACACAGCTGCTCAAATACACCTGCAAATGCAAACTTCCAGCCATAAGTGCATTTAGGCTTGTCTGAAGTCATGACTCAGAGTTGGACATAATTTACCAATGCCCCACAGGCACACAGACTCTGCACAATCTTTTCAGTGTCATCTCGACAAAAAGGGGAAAAAAGGGCTGGAAAAACTGCCTACCTTACTTTCTGCATAGAAGCGCAGAATGTAGTGATATGCTGCTTGGAACCTGATAGGGAAGCCTCATCCCCAGGGAGTGACTGTAATTTATCCTCATGCCCGGAGGAGGAAAATGAGGCTGTGTTTTACGGTATGCTATCAAACTACTGTGTAACAGCTGTAAGTATTTGCGTGCATGCTTACAGACATGCTCTCTAATAGAAGCAGCATTTCAGAATAAAGAATTAATGCTATATTACACATAGCATAACTTACTGTGATTATGAGGATCTTATTGGATAAACAAGAACTAAATAACTGTGAAAGGAAGAGAGATTCATTTCCAAACTGAGGCTGGAAATTTGCTATGTATTCTTTAACAACAATTTTATTAAGTTGTTGATTTTAGTGCCATGTTCTCCTAATCATCTTCTAGTATAAGCCAAGAACAAATAAATAAAACAAAAAAAGAGCTTTAATAAAACAGTGGCATTTAATTATCTTTAAAAATGTTCATTAAAGGTAATATACATTACATTAAAGGTATAGAGGACGATCTTTTATTTCCAGGTGGATCATCTAAATAAGTGGTCCTTCTAATTGTCAATCATTCTGGTGATGTCAACATAAGGCTGTCCTATGAGCTTACCCTGTTAGCTATCTTTTTCTGTGCATGCACACTTTCAGAATCTTATCTGTGGAGAGTTAAAGTTTAATTGAAGCTCAACTTTCTCCCCGCTGTCCTTTGAAAATGGCTGAGGCTCCTAAGAGAAAAAGTGTTGAAGTGCGTTAGAAGAAAACAAAGGCCTCAGAAGAGGCAGATATATTACAAAATTTGCTGTCACAGCAACCCTCTGTCCCCATAGGGACCCGACATCGGCAACTAATAACAAAGATGGCGCAGGCAATGTGCAGTCGATGAGGAGTTACGTGACCACTGGAGCAAAAAGCAGTGATCATTTGTCTGAACGGTCAGTTAACTGAGTTTGCTATAAAGTCCACTACATAGTCCCAGCTGTGTGTGGACACAGTAAGCTTGTATGAGCCATGAGAACAGCACATTTTTAGCAAGGCATGCACGAGGAGAAATGGGCCCGTTCATGCTCTTGCGCTGTATTTTTTCTAAAGTGGAGAGGGCGGGTCTTTAAAAAAAATCCTTCACAGTACCATTAAATATCTTCTTTGAAAAATCATCTAGCTTTTTTGTAAAAAGGAGAACTATCATAGCAGCTTAGTGAAAGCACTTTTATTGATTTACGTTGCCTTATTTTTCTGGCAGGCAGTCCCTCATTTCTTTGTGGAATATTCAGTCAAACCGGATGTTATTTACACTGCCACTCGAAGTGTCCTTTTTTCTTCACAGAGAACTTGGGAAAATTGCTTACATATATTTCTATGTGTACATTCTAAAAAGCCTTGACACTAACTTAAGCCTAGCTTTAGCCTACAAGTCCAACAAATTTGCATTCATCCACCCTATTCCTGGCCGTGTTGTAAGACCATTTATGAAAGTCATTTTTGTTGAAGGATTAAAGGGTATGAATAGGTTATCCAGTTATATGTAAAATTTGACATTCCTACATGTTTTAATCTGCATCTACTGTGCTTGACACAGGTTGTTTACATGTAATTCATCTTGGTAGAAATTGACATAGAATTTGGTAGAGACATTATTAGTCATTGGAAAAAGGTTGATAGAAACTCTACCTGCTTGTAATGCTTTTAAAATATTTTTGTTATAGTTAAAAATATATTGAAGTTTAAAATACTGAATGAAAGAAATCAAGCAGTACATGAAAAGAAATAATAAGATTTTATTTTACTTTTAATTTTTTGCCTTAAAGGCCTGCTCTTTTAGTGTGTTGTTATTCCATTACTGTGTTGTATTCACCCCCACCTTGCCTTTGTGGACCATCCACCTAGGCTTGGCGTATCTCCTTCACCTGCTGATGCAGTGTTTTTTTATCCCCTCTATGATTTGAGGATCTTTTAAGTTGCAGTGATACTGACCTCCCTAAAGATGCTTCTATATGCCATAAAATGCATATGCACATCTCATGTTCTCCTGGTGCAGTGACATAAGGTACATGTACAAAAAAAGCACTTCTGTTGTTCCTAAAATCCCTGCCAGAGGGTAAATTCAGTACTCCTTCTGTCAAAGTTTGTCTGGCAAAGATGAGGTTGGAAGATAGGGTAATGCTCAAGTTTAAGTTTAAACAGGTTTTCATAGATTGCTACTAAAGAAGGGTAAAGGAATGTGAACCTGCACAGTAGGTGTGCTCTAAGCCCTTTTAAAGGACTACAGCTCAGGTTATTGCACAAATCTTTACATTTTTGTCTTTAATACATCCTCCATGGCTGTCAGTCATATTGTACCCATATCCCCGTGCATACATACTGAAGGGAGTCTTTGTCTCTGTTGTGATTTATACTGAGCACTACAACTTAAGCCTCTTTGACAGGTTTTAACAGAAGGGGGCACTGAAGCTCCACAGCAGGATCTTTATTCATAGAAGCTGTATCACATGTGTATTAAGCCTGTTCCCTATCCATGTTCAGTCACTTCAGTTTCAGTTATATATCTTACAGGTTTGCTCTACTTAAGTTTTACTCATTCTCCTACTTTACCTGGCTTAATTTTAAGTCAGTAATATATCAAAATTTACCTCTACAATACATCTGTTTCTGTTAGTTGGCATGTGTTCATTTTTAACAGGTGCCTTTCTTGTCAGTAGCCAGCAGTTTAATTATGAAATACTGAGATAATAAAGCCAGTCCTATTCTGGATACAAATAATAAGAGAGAGGGGTGTAGACAAGAAAGAGCTGGTATATAATGCAGTGAGGAGCATTTGGGACCATCTGGCTACTCCAAACGTTCAATAGAACTGGGTAGAGTAATTTCTGGAATACAAAAGAGACCCATTTCACAAACTTGAATTAGAACTATCTAATTTGAATGATCTAAAGCTAAATAAAAGATTAATGCACATTTTTTTTTTATATGTATGACTCTTAACTGCTGTTAACTGCAGTTGTTTATCTCTTGGTTTGTACAAACAGGTTGTTTTCTCTATAGAATTACAAAGTTAACCAAACAACTGCTTTTTTACTCAAATGAGCAAACCAAAACAAACAGCTTTTAATTTATGCTCAATTCATACAATATAATACAGCTCATAGTTGTTCAAGCACAAAGTACTGATTTTATATTTGATGCAACTCTGTTGGGTTTGCAGTAGTGTGCCTAAATAGTGTTGTGATGCACAAACAACCCCCATGTACTTAACTTACTCTGAGACCATAACAACTCAAAAATAGTTAATGCAATCAAAATCTTTTTTTTTTTTTAAATCTGGATCTTATTTTCTCAATAAATGCCTCATTGAAGTTGCCTCAGATAAAGAATATGCAGTGATGCTTAAAGTGTGACCAAGTTGTAAAAGAAAATAAATCTGATATCTAACTCCTGGACTGATAGGGAAATGAAAATCTATTTCTAGTTATCTTTTTGAAACAAGATTTGATAAAGTCTAATAAAAATCAATTTCCCAATAAACTGTTGTCATAGTAA